TGTACTTCTAATTAGTGACCGTTGTTTTGTTTTGATCTCTCCGCTGCGTTTCCGTGTGCGTCACTTCTGGGCGGCGCATGCGCAAAGCCGACCTCCATGCGTCATCAGCCCGGAACTGCTTCCGTGTACAACAGTGAGCGCAAGCTACATTAAAGTGATTATTCCGTTTTGAATATGGCTATTTTTCTTACAAAAACGAATCGATTCGCTACAGGAGGCCTTTGTTCACCCCCCAGAGCCGTGTGAGACACGTTTTTTTTCATGGATGGGCACTTTTTATTTAACTTGTTTTGGACTGATGCATGCAACACCCGCTGAGTGCCATGAAACAGCTTGAAAGATCAAAGACAATTTTTAATATAACTCCGACTGGATTCGTCTGAAAGAAGAAAGTCATATACACCTAGGATGACTTGAGGGTGAGTAATTTATGGGCTAATTTTTTAATTTTGGGCTCTCTATTCCTTAGTAAAAGTTTGTCTCAGCAGCTTTGTGAATTGGTTTGAAGAGAAAACGCTTAGCTAAAAATCTTTTACTGCTATTTAGGAGAACTCTTAAATAGGAAAAAGGTTTTGTGAATACGGGCCCTGGTCAAAGATTTTTAATATTTGAAACAAGTCTCTTCTGCTCACCAAGGCTGCAGTAATAGTAATATTGAAAAACATTATTTTGATTAAAATTACATTTTAAAATCGAATTGATTGCTGTGATCAAAGCTGAAATTTCAGCATCATTACGCCAGTATTTCGGTGTCACATGATCCTTCAGAAATCATTCTTAAATGTTGATTTGCTGCTCTGTTATGATTATTGGTGCTTAATCATTAATATTGGTTCTTATCAATATTGAACACATTTTTTTCTGCTTCATATTTTTGTGGAAATCATGATACATTTTATTTTTCAGGATTCTTTGTTTAGGATTCTTTGAAAAGTCAAACCGAATCACGGGAATAAATTATATTTTAAAATGTATTCACATAAAAAAAACAGTTATTATAAATTGAAATAATATTTCACAATATTACTGTTTTTATTGTATTTTTGATTTAAAAAAATGCAACCTTGGTGAGCATAAGAGATTTCTTTCAGAAACAATCTTTAAAAATGATTCCATACTTTGACCGGTTATATGTTTTAAATTAACCATTCAATTTGATGATGCAATGATGATAATCTTG